GAAACCATCTTCACGATTGTCCCCCACAGTGATTTCTCCACATTGGGCCACGCCAATCACCGAGGCAAAACTTGTGCCATGACACATCGTGGCCTGGTTGGCATAGTTGGGGTCATGGACAAAGCTCGGCCCCTTGATGTTGCATCCCACGAACAAAACGTTCTGGCCCGGGACATCAAAAGTGAACATCTCCGGCCCAACCTTTTGGGCAAGATCACCATCGCCCTCCAATGGACGTCCGTAATGCCGGAAGGCCCCCATAATCGTGGCCATTCTGCCAGCAACTGCATCAGGCACCGAAAGGTGGGACATATGGGGCTTGTACTCCGAGGCCTCGGCAAATTGGGCCGCGACCTTGTTCCACGGGTACTTCCACCAGGGCTCAAGCTGCCCCTTCTCGACCAACTCACGTGCGCTGAGGGGTCGATCCGTGGCAGCCCAAGCTGCCGTGTTGGCCGACTCCCATAGGGCTTTGAGGTATTCCCCATCATCAGCTTCTTCATCTTCCAGGGAGAGCTCCTCTTGTCCTGCCTTATCGGCAGCTGCCTTTCGGGCTTCGGCCGCCTTGATTTCTTCGGGTGTGGCCTCCTTAACATCGTAACTCGCAGCAGGCCTGCCACGATCTTCCTGAGGCTTGCTTTTCTTCCAAGTCTCGCTCTGCCACTTATTCCATGGCTTCCGCTGGGGTTGCTTCCACTGAGACTGAGACTTCCAACTGTCTCTCCAACTGGAGGCTGCCTCTCTCCCAATGCCCCCTGGTCCGAGCAAAGCTTGGGAAGCCGGTTGCTGCATCACCGGCACCTGCTGCCACACGTGCCCTGGACTAGCCAGAGGTAACGCGGGCGGTGGTGGCATGGGTGGTGGCGCCGTTTCGCGGCGGGGTGGGGTGCTCCCACGGCTAAGTTCCGTCCTCCTGGACCTACGCCGACCCCTTGAACGATCTCTCGTTCGCTCTCTTGAGCGCGAGTCTGAGCTGCTGCGGCGCCTACGGCGTCTGCCCCGGGACTCCGTCCCAAGAGGTGGCATCAAAGGCCATGGGTACATCTGACCCACCAGGCACCTGCCTTCGTGTCACAGGTTTCCGTGCTCCTGCACAAAATGCCCCGGCGAGTCTCGCCACGAACTAAGGTTTTGGGCCAAAGAAAAACAAATAATGCACGAACACTTGCTGCAATGACCACATCTGTGCCTACCACCGATACTCTGCGGTGCTGATCCTTCCTTTCCGTGTTGATACACGTCACGTGGCTGCACGGCCCTTCTCGGCCAGCCCTCATGGGCTCTATACTTCTCGTGAGAGCACTTCTGGCTCGAGCTTTCGGCTCAGAATCGAAAACACGACCTAGGTCGTGTGATCAAGCTTGCACAGAAAAACAAGTCCCAAAACGATTCTCCAACACTGCACTGCATCTCGATGCACATACGTCTGTCATTTGTCGTGAGGTTACCAAACAAATGCACTTCTCCTCTAACCAAAACAAAGTACCCAACAAAAAGCCTCGACAACAGGCAACTAGGCCCGAGGCGAGATCTGCACCCGAATGTATCAAGCACTCTGAGCTCAGGGCCGCCAACATCGCAGATGCCACGATCCAACGGTATTACAGGTATCCTGATGTTAACCAGAACAACATGAGTAAAAATAGTCTCTAAAGTGCTCGAACATATAAGGTTTGCCAGCATTCAGCCAAAGTCAAACCGATGCACTGTTTTCTCTTGCCCTTTCTGACAAGGTTTCGTCTATTGACAGTCACATCTGTCTCGAATTCACCAGTCATGGTGAGTACGGACCAGGCCTCCGGCCAGGCCTAAAATGCCTCATGCGAATCGCTAACGATGGGAACTGAGGTGGAGGCATGGGCTCCCGGTTGTACATCCTGATCCCCGCGATCGTCAGGGACCACACCATCATGTCTGCATGAAGTCGGAATGACTCCTGAAGGTGCCTAAGTAAATCAAACTGCAGCTCAACCATGTGTCGCAAAGCGTGGATCGCCTGAAAGAGCTGTTCGACATCACAGCCAAGAACTGACGTTGATGTCTGTTGCTGACTCTGAAACGTCAAAAACGACTCGCGAGCCTTGCGAATGTCACCTTCCAAAGATGCAATGTGTTGTAAACATCGGCGAAGACGAGAATGATGTTCCATAATTTTCGTATCAATCTCCCACAAAGCAACTCTATCATATTCACAGAAGCTGAAAGGACGATCTGCATGAGTCTCCACAGTGGAGTCTTCCATGGGATGATTCTCGTCAATATGACGGGCTAACGAATCCCTGAGGGCAGTCATAAGTACCAACCCCCTGAAGCACTTCGAGCCTCAAAGAAAAACACGAGGTGCAAAACACGTGTCCCTGCTCCACATAAAAACTGCGGAAAGAAATGAGCAGCACTCAGGGCCAGGCTCATACTGTCTCCAGCTCATGGAAAAAGAGCATGGAAAGCTGATCGAAAACGTCTCACGAACGACTCCAGCCAAGATAAGCGTGCATCACTTTGTTGAACACGTGCTTCCAACACACGCAAGCGACTGGATATGTCTTCAAGGGCTCGACTGAGTTCACCAAGTTCATCTTGATGCCTTTCACACATAGCATGCACATCAACCACATGCCGATGCACCAAACTGACTGTGCCAGTCCCACTAGAGGACGGTGTCTGGGGCTCCGAAGCTGCACCATCTGCCATGGCTCAAGCTAACCCCCCCTTTTTCGAAAACAATCTATCAGCTTCTAAGAGCACTTTCCGGGCATCCTGCCCTCTGAGAGGTCCCGCTGCGACGGGTGTATAAGTAAATACAAATCCTGCATGAACAAGCATAAAACTGATCAAGCATTGGAAATAAGTTGTGCAAAAAGGCAAGCACTGAAACAACAAGCAAATGTTTTGTTCACCACAACATTTTGATGTTGTTTCCTTTGAACAATAAAGCTCTATCTTCTCCAGGCATTCGAAGAACGATACGTTTTGGCCGTTTTGGCCTTTGTGCTAGAATTTCTGGCACGAGACCTGACATGAGAGATCATGAAGGTCGAGTACAAGAAAGAAACTGTGATGGAAGAAGATGAGTTGCCGAAGCTCTACTACGCCCCTTCGGGAGAGCGAACGCATGCGAGAAGAGACTCTTATGGTCTCAGAAACAGCATGAACGTGAACACAGCGACCCCCTGCAGAGTGTGTCGCCCCGACAAGATAGAAGGCTGAAGGTGTTCCTAGCACGAAGTCCTTCTAGCAAACTCCTTCACAGAGATCTTCGTGGTGAATGAACGAGATGGAATCTCCATCGTCGACCTTGGTGGCGATGCCTGCCGGGAAGCACCAGAGTGGATGTGATGCCTGCCGGGAAGAACCAGAAGGAGACAAAGTATGTCGACTACAAGATTGAAAGAAAAGAAACAGAAGAAGAAAGCGATCAGACGGAGCTGGCGAGCTGGTTCAGTATCCTCACTCTCTCTTATATAGAGGTCCCGCGACCCCCCTGAAAGCCATCCACAGCCAGCAGGAATGAAAGTGGATTCCATCCCCTTTTTAAAAAATGACAACCGAGGCTTGCAGGCATGCAGTTCCGAGGCCGTGGGACCGCAATCTTGCATCTTGCAAAATCGCAATTTAGAAGGGTTTTGAATGCTCGGAAAAGGTTTTACGCAGAATCGCGGACACGAGCTAAAATTCGGTACTCAAGGCATCTCCTCGCATCCTGGAACCGGCCAACCCGCCCCAAATTGGCCGACTCGACCAACCGACCACCATTTTTACTTGTTAAATTTTCACGGGCCGCGACAATGCAAAACAATGAAAAGCGTCCCGTTCCAGGGGGCATTTCCTCCTTTCCTTTTGTTGGTTATGATCCGGGAAGGGTGTGAGTGCTGCTGGTGTTGTAGGGTGTGGTATGTGGAGTGGCTCTGACTCCTGTGGTGTCGGTCACAGAACTGAAATGATCGGGATAGTTCACAGCTAGTTCAAGCCACACTACCAAAGCCACTACCAAGCCCTAGGGAAAGTCCAGGCTAAGTGAGCACCTACCACAAGCTCTCGCTCCTTCCCTTTTGACTTTGCCGGAAATGCAGCTCAGAGTTCGAAGCACAAAGCATGCAATCGAATTATTGGCAAAGCTGGCAAACAGATCTTACCACCATGCAAGCAGATGAATTGTGCCAGCGCAGAGAATCTGAACGCGCCATGTCGATAAAACACAGGAGCAAAACAGAAGAGACCTTAACCAAGGCAGGAAAAGCGATCGAAAAGCGATTTCGTGAATTCTCGTGAAACAAGGCTAGCTCCAGCCGTTTAGAGGACGGGTGCGCCTCAGGATTGAATCGGCTGACAGCACGCGAGTATGGGACAAGTTCCAAAACAGAAAACAAACACTACTGCGACACGGTTGCACAATGAGCTATCACAGCCGTTTAGAAGACGGGGGCCCTTTTGGGATGACCCAGCTGAGAGCTCAGAGTAGGGAACATGACCCAAAGCGGAAAGCAAGGACAATGTGACACGAGTGCAAGATGAGCAAGCTCCGGCTGTACAAAGGTCCCGAGACCCGTCCCAAATGAAGGAACGAAGCTTCATAATGGGAGTGGCGGGTGGGATCGAAAAGCGAAGCTACCAAGCGATGTAATGCAAGCTGCATGATTTGGTGTGTGGCTTGAACCAAAAGCAACAAAGTACGGTGATCTTTCACAACAGTAAACAGACATGAGTAAACACATGAACCGTTCACAGCTAGTTCAAGCCACACTACCAAAGCCACTACCAAGCCCTAGGGAAAGTCCAGGCTAAGTGAGCACCTACCACAAGCTCTCGCTCCTTCCCTTTTGACTTTGCCAGAAATGCAGCTCAGAGTTCGAAGCACAAAGCACGCAATCGAATTATTGGCAAAGCTGGCAAACAGATCTTACCACCAATTTAACACTGGCAAAGTCAAAGCTCGCACCGAACAGCCCAATTTTTAAAAGTGAGCGAAGACGTGCCAGGCATGCCCCCAGTCTCTGGGTGGCTCAAGCCGAGTATTGTAACGTAGCTCCAGTGAAATCAAAGTTCCAAATGCAGAGCCAAAACCAAAACAGCTCCACAGAAGCCGGTCTCTGGTAGAAGGGCGTGTCACAACCCGATCCTCCGAGGATGAGGTAGGCGACGGTCACGGCTAGGGTCGATTTCCCAACTGTCGGAGCACAGAGCAAAGGACAGACTGCACAAAGGGAGGCCTGGACCTCTGCCAGACGAGTGCTGCAAAGCTCGAGGTCAGCCTCCATGTCAGACAGCCGGACGGTGTGCCCGCTGGACGATTGCTCCAGAGCGAGGACACGCGCGAGAAGCCCTTCTGCAGTCAGATGAGCGCCCGACAGGTCCCCTTGCAGAATGGCAACATGATGCCTGAGACGAGAAACTTCCTCCCTCAGAAAAGCCACCTCGTCGGAGTGGTCCATGTGCCCGACCCGCGGGCAGGTAAACCAGCTGTTGAAACCCTCTCAAAGTGATTGTATAGTAAAGGATATGCAAAGTGTTCCGTGTTCAAATGCAAGTGACACGCAAGTGCTCTAAGGCTCCCTGAGAGCCACAAGGGCCGGGGGCCGTGCGGGGGAAAAGAATGCGCTGTGGCTCTGCCGCTGCCCGCCAGACCGCTCCAAAGCACGAGAAATGGCTGACTGCCTTCCCAAAAGTAGGAAAGTACTAGGAGAAAAGCATTGCATCCGCTCATTTACTCCGAAAGACAATGCGGCGGATCCGAACCACTGAGCGGCGCAAGTCTCCTGACATGGTCGCAGGCAGAAGCCCCTAAACCAGTGCGAAGGATCCTATCCAACCCCCCGGAAAACCCGGCATGCGGGACACCTAGGCTTAGGGACAGTGCCCAAGAAAAAGGGGCGGGAGAAGTCGCACGCAGGAATTCTGTCGCGCCAGCAGTGCGAGTTTCCCCAGAGAGAAGGGACCGCCCTAGATAAGCACTGTAATGCCCGTTACAGAAAGGCCGCGGGCTGGGGTAAGTGCTGTGCCAGATACCCACAGTGAACAGCAAAAGAAGCATGGAGCCATCCTCCTCGCCGAACGTGCACTGGCCCCCACGGACTGTGAAGTCCTGGCGCGCAGGGCTGAAAGACCAAACTGCGACGAGCCAAAGACTGATGACCGTGTGACACGCTTGAAGGCTTATAAAACGCTCTGTACTGGCGGAATTAGGAAGCAAGCCTGACTCTTTGACAGGAAAAGCGGGGGCAAGGCCCCATATTAACAGCCAGTAAAGCAAACGCCTAGAGCAAAGCACAGCTCAGGGTGTATTTACGGGTTGGAGTGCGTCCCTGTAAGCGGGCGAACACCGAAGGCTCAAGGTAGCGACTTAGGGTCAACCGGGCTTTATGGAGTTTCGGGCAAATGCCGTGCCTGCAGAAGCGAGAAAGGGGGAGACGCGATCGGAGCTTTGGTGGCCGAAAGCGGCCAAGGCCTGAGCGAACCAAAGCAGAGAGGGAGCAAAACATGAAGATGGCGGATGGTACGCTATCAAAAGGGAGAGCCAGGTGGCGAATAGCCTGAATGAATAATACCTACGCTGCTGCTTGCATTTTTCCGCGCAGGCACCCGGCCGACTGCCTGAGCATGTGAGACCTGCTCAACAAAAACCAAAGAAGATCACAAGGAGGGATCTTTAAAGCCAGAAGCTTATTGAAAGGTCAGATGTCGACTGCGTAATCTCACGGTGTAAGCCTAGCAAGGCTAGCCCAGGAGCCGAAGCACAGAGTGTCAGGGAACGGTCGAGACAGCCAAAACAAAGAGTGTGTAAGTACAATGGCTGTTTGAAAGCCTGCGTAACAAAGCACGCTTGAAAGAAAGGCCCTGAGGGCCCGAGGGTCACCCTCACGAATTGACTGGTGCTTCGGCGGGAGGAAGCTCCTCTTGCTCAGACTCCGGGGACATTTCGGCCAAGTTGCGGACAAAAAGAGCCCGCTCTTCAGGATGCTGTGCCAAAGCGTCCAAGAGGGTTTTGACTAGGTCGTTCTCGAGGCGGATGACACTCCAGCGCGCCTTCCAGTTGTGCGCTAGTATTTGCCTGGCAGACGCAAAGGATCGATCCTTGGTCAAAGCAGTCCAAAGCGGCCCATCCGCAGCATCGCGGATCTGATAGAAGCGCGCGTCAGACATGGGCTCATCCTGGGACGACATCATGGCAAAGGCAAAACAAAGTTGCGTAGCCCCTTCGGCAGGAACGCCAAAAAGTTCCTGGGAGAATCGCAAATGTGGGAGACGCCACACACAGTCTTGGACCCCAAAGGCTCGAGGAGAAAGCTCAAACGGAGTGACATCTCATAGGCGCTGCAGTGGGGCAGAGTCCCAAGGTTGGGGAGAACGAAAGCTTGGTAAGCAAACGACTCAATGCGACGCACTGACCGTCTGGGGTGTAAAGGTCGAAAAACTGGCAGAGTCGCTCTGAGCCATGGACGCAGTGAGAGCAGCTCCGAGGACAAGCCGTCTCGGTGGCAGTGAGAAGTGGCGAGGGGCCGAGACCTGTGGAAGAAAAGATATGTCCCTGAAAAGAAAGCTAACCTTACCAGCTGAGGCCTCTGGGCCCGAAAGCTAGAGAGGGAGGAAATCACAAGGAAAAGGCTCACATGAGTGCCCAGCGGTGACAGCTTCTGAAAGATGACATACCAATGCGCAGTGCACTAAGGATCTGCAAAGATTCAGCGACGCTGACTGGCACTGGCGTTCTGAGTCATGGATGCCTGCAAGAAAAAGGATTCCCGGAGCCAAGGGGGCCGATGGCCTCGAATTGTACCAAAAAGCCTAAAACAACCCGTAAGGAACCTCTTCAATTACGGTAGAGTATGCAGACCGATGCGAATCTGACGCTCAAGAAAGGAAGCTTTGCAGACAAGCTGGAGTCGCGTTGCGGACTCAAGGAGAAGAACTCTCCGCCCAAAGAGGGCAAGACTCGTTGGGGCACGCACTTACCAGGTCGAAGCCTCCCAGGGCGGGAAAGGCAAAGTCTAGGTGGCCCGATCACACACGACACCGACCCGGCATCTGGGACTCCTAACCGGCTGGTATGCAGCTGGGAAGAAATGAAGCCAGCACGAGGCCTACTGACTGGTCCAACCTTCCTGTGACCAGGAAGATGCCCAAGGTTCCAAAACGTCCGGACCCGGGGACCATGCTGACAAAAGGCCCCCCATGTTGCTCTCCCCACAAGCTGGGATCAAAGCATCAGCAAGCCGAGGCCGAGACCTCCAAACGGAAAGGGAGGGGGGCTGGGAGTGGGAGAGGGCAGCTTCGGGAAAGGGACCCTAAGAGCACGATAAGATCGTGCGCCGCCGCAAAGGGAAAACTCCATTATGGAAAGAAAAAGCTGCCCCGAATGTCATCCATGTATTTGGCGAAACAAAGGCCAGCTTAGCGCGAGGCCAGGATGGCCCGAAGATAACGTACACCTCTCAGGGCGGACGGACCTGGAAGGTGCGAGCCCAGGTTGCGATCTTGCACTGCTGTGTGGACACAAGTGAGGCACTCTAAACATGCGCAGTACAAATAGAAGCACGTGACGTGCACCAGGGGCCGAAAGACCAGTGTAGGGACGATAGCGCTGGGCCAAAGAAAAGACAAAAATATTCTGAGAGGTGCGCCTGGAAAAACGTGAGAAGCATCCGCAGCCAGACCTGGGTGCGAGAGCATGTCTGAGGGAAAGTACCCGACAGCGAAAAATGAACGAAGCTCCGAAACCGCACGCAAGCCTGATTTCAATCGGCACGCTCCGATGCCAATCGCCCACAGGCAGCCTAAAGCTCGCTGGGGGGAAATGCGACGAGATAAAGCCAACAATATGTACTGTGCCCGTCAAAACGGGCAAAGCCAAAGCAAAGGGGGGCAAAATAAGAGCCAAGTGCTGATGTACGGGCTTTCTCAGGGTTGCCCTTGTGCCCTCCTAAAAGCTTTGTAACAAATGCCACAGCGGTGCCGATGAGGCAAATCCTCGCGTGTAAGAACGACCCCGCAATGGCCAGCACCGCAGTCTTGGCACGTGGAGCGGCAGTAAATTTGATGGACAATCATTGTCTCATTGTGCTGGCTGAGCGGAAAGGCGTTGGGACCCATGCCGGTAGCAGCAGGTGGCGCAGTGTCCAAAGGAGGAGCCGGTGGCGGCTGAGGTCTGTCGGCCTGCGACACCCAGAGCCAAAGCCATTGGCCAATGTTCCAGCCAGGGCCAGCCTCCTTGGCGCGCGTCGTCCTCCTTCCATCCCATGGCACCATCGAAAGAAGCGGCCTCCTCCCACCATGCATGTGCACGGAGAAGATCAGCAGGGGCCAGTCCAAGGGAGCGGTGGCCATTAGGAAAATGCGGCCAATTGCTGTCCAAAGCAGGCTGCGCCGGCGTGACTGGCGAAGCAGCTGGGCCCGGGTTCAGGGAGGCCTTTTCCATCTCTTCGACCCAATGAAAAGCCCAATCGCCAGAGGTAAAGCCAAAGACGGTATCCATCTTCTCAGCAGCCTCAGTCAAAGGCGCAAAGGCTGGCGTAGACGAAAGCCAGTGCCACAGCCATTGCGTTGGCGAGAAACCGCTCGTCGCCGGCATGTGGCGCGCGTCTTCCAGCCAGGATACCGCCTTGTTCACATCAGCTTCTGCAAGGCCCAAGAACATGTCAGTATTGGCCATTGCGAGCGATAAGCGAGGGTGGGCAAGGCCACCGAAGCCAAAGACAACTCCGTATCAACAATGAGAGGGCTAAAGCAAAGCCCAAAAGCTCTGAGGTAAAGCAACGCAATGGTGACGCAAAAGCTCTGAGTGCCGAAAGAACGAAGCTCTGAAATGCTGTGTAGTTACTACACACGACGTTCACCGGCTGTTCTGAATCTCTGAGTGCGAGACCAAGGGAAAAAGCTCTGCAATCCCAATCTACCCCTCCCAGGAGGTAGGAGCCGAAAGCTGTGTCGATGCGAGTAAGCACTGAAGCTCCGATTTAAGCACCCCTAAAAATGCAAAGCAGACAGAGCCAAGGGCAGGGTGATTCAAGACTACCCGAAGTCGAGATTCCTTTTGCTCAGACTCGCGGCAAAGAGATGGACCGAATTCGAAGGCAGAGGCCACTGCCAAAACCGGCCTGCATCGACTAAAAGTGTAAAGCTGAAATTGCCCAAAAGGAATGACCAAAAGGGAACGGATGCGGGGCTGGTTGAGGCTGTTGGCATGCACATGAAAAGCATGTCCACAACAAAGAGCGCAAGGTTAAATTGACAAAAGGCCTCTCGATAGAGGGTCTCCTTGTAGCTGGAGCCATGCGAAGCCTTGCAAAAAGGGGAAGCTGTCCTGCTTAATGCATGAGCTGGAGTGAGACCCGCAAAATGCAATACGGGGACGTGACTGCAAATTCCGGGATAACAGCCGGACTTCTGAAGGATTGAACGGTATTCGACAAAACTGGGCACTGAACGTGAAGAGAAAGTCTGGTGGAACCCCTTCAGAGACCAAGCCAAGAGCGACGCGAGGCAGACCTGAGCGGCTCGATTAAGTATCGCACTGTTGGGATTCTGATGCCTAGAGGGAGAAAACCAAAGCCGCAGAGATGCAACCCACCAAAGCCGTAGAGGGTCGCGAAACTATGAAACGCAAGCTTTGCCTGAGTAATGCCGCTCATGGCGTGCGACGCACGAAGAAAAGGCCCACCGAGGCCGGAAGGCACCCCCCCCTTTTAAGTTCAGGACGGGCGCGGAGATGATGCCAGGAAGGTAAAAGCGCTGCGTGGCGAGGCCAGCAACTGACAGAGGCTAATCATCAACGGCCTCAAGCTGCGAAGAAGCACAGGAGGGACCTATCGGTTCCAAAGATCGGAAGCCGCGACAAAGCAAGAAATGAACTTATGATATATGCGCGAGGGCACCAGGCGTGAAATGGCAAGAAAGCTCGTCAAGTCCAGAAGGCCCCGAAGGCATGCCCGGCAAGCAGACGCTCTGAGCGCAGAGCCGAATGGGCATGAACCCCCAGAACCCCCTGGGACCTGAAGCAAGGCAAAGGGAGCCCACTCTGAGAGGCAGAATATTGAAATGCAAAGAGCAGATATACCAAAGCTCGGGGCTCGGAGACACCGAACCTGGAAAGCATTAAAGCAAGGACACAAACGCCAAAGCAGTGGTACCCCCGCGCACAGCATGACGAAGCAAAATGAGGCCGGGACGGCCATGGGACCTGTGCGAGCCCGAGTGCAACACTGGCAAACACGCACAACACGGGTGTACGTGGGCCATGCATGCCACACATGAAAGGGAAAGAAAAGAGCAGCACTTGACGCACGAACAAACCCTAAAGCCAAGTTACCAGCCCATCAAAGAAAAGACAAAGGAAGCACTCCGAGAAGTGTACCCGGAAAAATGTGAAGGGCGTCCCGGCTGGGCACGGGAGCATGCACGAAAAGAAGCGCTGCATGCAGAAAACGAAGGAAGCTCGGAAGAAGCACTGAAGCTCTGATATTTTTGGCTGGCAAGCTCCGACGCCAATCGCCCCTAAGAAGCTTAAAGCTCAGGAGGGAAAATGCGGCGAGACAAAGCCAAAAACATCCTATGTACTACCCCTGCCAAAGCAGAGAAAGCGAAGCGGAAGAGGGGCCACTAAAAGCCAAATGCTGCCTAACTGCCGAGGTATCAGTTGGGATAATCGTCAGCGGCTTCATCCTGCAGCACAGCGGGTGTGGTCGGAGACCCAGGAGATGCTGACGTGGGAGGTGGCCCAGCGCTCTTCGGCAATGCTGGAGGCGATGCAAGACCCATGAAAGAAGCCGTAGCCGATGGAAGGGTCGGAGTTGAAGGGTGAGGGACCACGTACACGCCAAAAGGCAATTGTACGGTAGCAAAGCCATCAACGTATATGAAAGGCAAAGTAACAGCAGCCGGTCGTAGGGGCGGAGGGCCAGACGGTCCGGCAGAGCCAGGAGCGCTTAGTGCAGATGTAGCTAAGCCAGTGACAGCTCCCGGCGTAGACGCCGCGGGGTGTGACAGCGCAATGGAAAAACCAGGTGGGCCAGAAGGAATGTCCGAGGTACCGCCGCAGCTGGAAGATGGACGGGGCGTGGCACCCAACGGAGGCCCACCATCTGTCGACCTGGCTCGAAGACTCTCCATTCCTCGGCGCAAAGCCAAAGCAGTTCTGGACGAGGGTGTAGACGAAACAGATCCCGCCTTGGATCTGACTGAAGTGCTGTCCCCCGTAGGGGGGGGGGGGCCGCCCGGCGGGGACGGAACCTCCTCGGTCTCAGAGCTGGCGTCCCGCACGCGGGGCTTGGGCGTAGGCAACCCAGCAAAGCGGCCCCGTCTCAAAATTGAAGCAAGGGGTTTCGCAGCTGGACGTTTGTGCCCCGGCATAACCCCAACGGGGATTCCGAAAAGAAAAAGAGTATACAATAACGTTAGAAAGCAAGATCTAAGTGGGCGACCTCTTGAGAGGAAGCAGCGGGCCACAAAGACAAACAGCATGCGACTATGCTCCAACGCAGAAAGGCAGACAGAGCAAAAGGCGGATATCATTACTCCAAGGTCCCTGCCTGCCAGGGAAAGGCCAAAATGTCGAAAGCTCTGATGTGAGGAGATGCGCCAAGCTCCTGCAGTTGTGCACCAAGGGCAAAGCACAGACCGAGGCAGGTCCCTAGCAAAAGCGCAACATAAAACGGCATATGCCTAGCCAAGTGTGGATTGCTAAACCAGGGCAGTGCCCTGCAGAGGTAGGCCAAACGGAATCCTCGTGCTGCCGTCGACGCTGTTAGCTCGCATGCTCGCATCGCAGCAAGCTCAAGCGCAGCTTCGGGCCTGTTCGGCCATGGCCGCGAGTTGTCAAAGGTGTGCAAAGCAAACACCCTGAGCTGGAATCGCCAGAACCAATGCAGCAGTAATCAAGCAATGAAGGAATTGCGAGTGAGTGTGTCATGTGCACAATAGGGCAAGCAGCTGGCTGATGAGCGGGCTTTCGCACTGCGCAGCATGTAACTGCAAAGTTCATGGAGCAAGTCACCATGGGGCACGCGTCAGCCGAAAAACCCCGCAGCATGTTATAGAAAGACTTCTTCAACAGGAGCAAAAACCTGCTATGAGGGAGCCCAGGTCCTGAGCGGGTACGCCAGAAAAAGGAGCTTCCAAGCACCCCGCTGAAGACAAATGCACTGAATGGCTGGAAAGGCGTAAGGCGCCCTCACGGCCTAACTGTCTTCCAAGCATGAAAGATGCGAAGCAGTGTTGCCTGGGCCTCGCGGCGCTCAACACGTGCCCAGAGGTGGGAACAAAGTGCACGTCCGTGAGCGAGGTGCTCTCTTTGCAAGAAACTCAAGCTGCTAGTGCTGGCATCACTGGAGGATGCATTGACAGACGAGGCCACCTCGAAGGCCTGCTCCATCTGGCAGCTGATCGCAGCTGCCGTGCACGAGGCCTAGTGTCAAATCCGTAGCTTACAAGGCCTGTAGACAAAGCTAGTAGGAGAAGCAATGCTAATGCGATCATCGAAAAGCGAAGCTACCAAGCGATGTAATGCAAGCTGCAAACCACACAACCAATCCCACACAGGGTCCTACGCTGGGGCTCTGAAGCCCTGAACAGTAGGGTGTTGGGCTACAACAGATGACAAGCAAGTAGGATGGAATTAAGGTTAACTCAAACCTTCGTGTCTTGTCCCACCTGGAGAACGAGATGAAGTTTGTATGTCGAGATCATGAGATGTTGAATGGAGATGCCAATGCCCACGCGCAGTGAATGTTGCTGCTGCAGCTGCAACCTTCCAAACAAATCCCAATGTCGTCCTTTGAATTTTTTTTAAGCGCCTCTACTGCATCAGTAGCACAGTAGGCCGATCTTGTGGGTCTCGCAACTTGGTGTGAAACAGCAGAAAGAAACAACACAACCAAATTTTTTTTCAAAGCGGATGCCTCTTTACTGCATCAGTAGCACAGTAGGCCGTTCTTGTGGGTCTCGCAAAGGTGTAAAACACCGTGAGAGAAGCAGGAAGAACAAGAAGGACGAACAACACCACCAACCAAGACCCAAACAACCCAGCGAACAAGAACAACCAAAAGAAACCGAAAGCGACCAGTCAGAACTCATGTCCACGGCCCGCCACCACCACCCACGCGTCGCCGTCGCCTCTGCAATTGCAGTTGTCGCAGCCCATCTACCGGTTTCCCCTGTTCGCGTCAAAGCCAAGACTTCAAACTCAGCCATTTTTTTTTCTGCTGCTTGACGTGCATTTTTCCTGTTTGCACCTGCAAAGAACAAAGCTACCAGCAAAGAAACATGACCTTAAAAAACTTTGGCTTTTTCAAGCTGTCTGGCTTGACACATGCAAGGCAACACCAAACTTGAGCAAATTAGAGATGCTCTGTTAAGTAATTTCAAACATGAAAAAACATTGAAACCAGAAAAACACTGGTTTCAAAGTTGTCTTGGCAAAGCAGATTGTTTTTAAAATTTCTAAAATAAAAAACATTTAAGAGGAGCTCAAAGGGGGACTCAAGAAGGCTTAAGGGGGGCTTAAGGGGGGGGCTTAAAGGTGCTTAAGGGGGCTTGAGGGCTTTGACTCTTTGCCTTCCCCGAAGGAACCCCTTGCAGGAACCCCTTTGAAGGACTTAAGAGCGGCTTAAAGGGGAGGCAGGCTTAAGCCCCTTTGCCTAAAGGGGGGGGACCATC